ATGCTGCCTACTCCAAAAATTTATGCCTATAATTTATTTATATGTTTTCTTCTAAGAATTTGCAGTTTATCTCTTTAACTTTGGTCTGTGGTCCAATTTGATTTAATTCACGTACACAGTCTAAAGTCTATCTTCTTTCTTTCACATATGAACATCCAGATATTTGAGCATCGTTTTTTGAGAAAACTATATTTTCTCCCTTTAACTGTCTGGTTGATTTGTAAAAAATGAATTGAATAGCAAATGACTTTATTTCTAGATATTTAATAACATTTCATTTATATGTGTGTATATATGTCTGTGTCGCAAAGGGGCAAAATTGCGACGTATGCAGTTGAGGGGAGAAATAATGTCCACATGCTTCTGCACCTTTCAATGCTTTATTCACTCAAATCACTCAATACAATTTCACTCTATAGGTTCTTGATCAAGAAAACGACAATCTTTAATGCTAGGCACTGCCATAGACATAATCACTTCACGGCAAACAATTCTAGATTAATTTTAAGCACTAAAAAACACACTTAATCATGACAGTCTAATGACAGACATTCCCTCTGCAGGCTAAGTTCAAAAGTCTTAAGCCTTAGGCTTTAAGTTCAGTAGATGCACTCACTCAGACCGCGGATACCAGGTCCTGAACCAAGGCAGGCCTTTCCTGGTGTAGAGTGGACAAGTTGAAGAGAGGGTTGTAGAGAGAAGTTGCGGCTCTCACCAGGGTCCAGACGGGGTGGTAGAGTTTGAGAGTGGTGAGGATCACGCAGAGGCTTAGGAATGAAGACAAGTGATGGGACGTCAGGTCCTCCTCAGGCTCTCCAGCTCGAGGGCATCCTTGTTTCGGCTGGCGGAATCCCTGTTCATCAGCTCTATTATTTATACTAAATTTGGGGGGTTTTGACCCCCCTTTCAACTTTATCAGCTCCATATTTCTCCATGACATCATTTACCCTGGGGACAGAAACATCTGGTCTGGTGGTCCCCACCCTGATCTCCTCATCTTTCCCTCTTATCAGCCTGCCAGGGGCTTCACTCTGTTTATCAGGGCGAGGGGAAGTGACTTGTTTGAGGCCACACTGGAGGGCTCTGTGGGTGTGCCTGGTGAGACTGCAGGTTTCAAACTGGAGTTTTTAAAATGAAGCTGCTTAGGCTCGGCCTAAGGCCATCCTCATAGTGTGTGTGTATATAAATGTTAGTACTATGTTGTCTTGATTACTGTACATACAGAGAAAGATTTGAAATCAAGAGATATGAATTCTCTAGGCATTTTAAAAAATTTTTTGACTCTTTTAAGTTCCTTGCCTTTCTACATAAATTTTAGGATGATGAAGTCAATTTCTTCTTTTAAAAAAATTCCAGGTGGGATTGTGGTATGTATGGATTGCATGGAATTTATACATCAGTTTAGAATGTGTTATTGTTTTAGCAATAATAATTCTGCCAATCTCTGAGCAAGGAATATATTTCTATTAAGCCTTTCTAAACTTTTTTTTTCAGGGCTGTTTACTAGCTTTTAGTGTACTTATTTAATAAAATTTGTTCCTAGGTGTTTTATTTATTTATTTTCTTGCACTCTTGGTAGTATGATTGCTTTCTTAATTTCATATTCAGGTTATTCTTTGCCAATGCATATAAAAACAATTGATTTTTGCATATGGATTTTGTATCCTAAGACTTTACTGTATTTCATTATTATTCTCGGAGTGTTTTAGTGGATTCTTTAGAGATTGGGTATATAATTTCATGCCTATCTAATCCAAGTGGTTTTTATTCATTTTCTATTCTGATTGCTTTTGTACTTTGTGTTATAGCAGCCACAGAAACTAATACAACTGCATCCCATGAATTTTGGTATAACATATTTTCTTCTTTATTCCTCTCAAATATTCTCTAATTTTTCTTGTGATTATGGTTTTTTCCACTTTTTTTAAGGTTCCATCACTTAATTTTTTTTTCTCTCTCTCTCTCTCTCCTTCCTCCCCCCCCCTCCCTCTCTCTCTCTCTCTCTCTCTCTCTCTCTCTATATATATATATATATATATATATATATATATATATATATATTCCTTCAAATTCCTTGTAAATTATTTTCTAACACTGATTTCTCATTTCATTCTGTGTGGTCAGAGAACATACTTGGTATGATTTCAGTCCTTTTATGTTTATTGAGGTTTACTTTAAGGACATGTATAGTGTGTCTTAAGAGAAAGCTTCATGATACATAAGAAGAGTGTGTCTTGTGGTGTTGGGTGGAGTGTTCTATAGATGTCTGACAGTTTATGATTTTGTTCATCTTTTATTTCCTTATCCATCTTCTGCCTATTGAAAGCAGAGCATTGAAGTCTATCCCTACTATTGTCATTGAATTGTGTGTTTCTCACTTTAGTTCTTCAGATTTTGCTTCATGTATTTTGGGGCTTCATTGTTAGGTGTGTGTCTATGAGTTATTAGGTCTTTGTGAGCCATTCACTTTTTTATCATTTTGGAAATCCTAATTTGTCTCTAGTAGAAACTCTTAAAGTCTTTTTACCATCACTTCAGTTCTCTTTTGGGTACTTTTTTGCATAGTGTTATCTTTTTACATCCATCTACTTTTAATCAACTTATTTGTGTATTTGAAACTAACGTGTGTTTTGTAGTCAGCACAGAGTTTGATCAGTTTTTTTTACCATTCCTTCAGTGTCTGACTTGTCTAGAGTCTCTGGTCTGTTTACATGTAGTATAATTACCCACAGGAGAGATGTAAGATGCTAGCTTCCTACTTATTTATTTTGTTCCTCTACTCCTACATCATTATTTTCCTTTGTGTTCCATAGCTGTTTTCTAGGTTAGCATTCTAATTCATGTAAAATTTGTTTTACTCTTTTTTAAAAAAAATATTTCTCTAATAATTCCTCTGGGGATGGAAATTAACATTTTAACTTAAGTAGTTTAAACAGATGAATTCAATAACATAATTTTAATAGTTGTATAAAATGATGCAAGAATATAACCCATTCCCTTTCTATTTCTTTGTTATATTATTATACTTTTATCTTTATTATATATAGTTTATCAATAGTTTTTGAAATCATTATTCTATGCAGTTTGTATTAAACTAAAAAAATGAAAGTAGTATGACAAAAATACATTTATATATTGTCTTGTATGTTTACCTATACAGTTAACTTTTCTGGTGCTCTTTATTTCTTTGTTGGATTCAATTTATTCTGCAATGTCAGTTCATCTGGTATTTGGAACTCCTTTAGTAGTTTCTTTTAGGGAAGTCTGATAGTGACAAGTTTTCTCGTTTTTTTTTTTTTTTTTTTTTCCTAAGAATGTCTCAATTTTTTTCACTTTTGAGGGATATTTGTGCTGTGTATAGAATTTGTTGCTGTTTGTCATTGTCGTTTTGTTCTGTTTCCATGTTGCTGGGGATTGACCCAGCGCCCTGGTGCAGGCCAGGAGGGAGTTCTGCACTGGAGGGCAGCCCTGGCACCGAGGGGCTCTCCTTGAGCAGCTGCAGCACGCCACGCCATTTCCTTCTGGTCTCCGTGATTTCTGCGAATTCTTCTCTGACTCCTCTGAGGTTTCTCTGTTTGTGCAAGCCATTTTTCTTTTTCTTTGATTTCTGTTTGTCTTTGGCTTGAGATTAGCTATGAAGAGTCTAGGTATGAATCTCTTTTGAGTTTATTCTGTTTGGAATTATTGAACTTCTCGAATATGGAAGTTAATGTTTTTCATCAACTTTAGAATGATTTTTTTACTGCACCAAATATCTGCTGCCGTTTTCTGCCCCCCTTGTGGGAGTTCTGTCTTGTATTTATCAGTGCCTTTTCTTCATTGTTTTGTTTTTCTCTTCACAGACTGAATAATCCCAGTTGATGAGCCTCCCCACTTTCTAAATTATTCCTTCTGTAATTTTAACCTACTGTTAAGTCCCTGCAGTGAACCTTTCAATTTCAGAATTTTTATAATTTACATTTCCTTATTAATGTTTTTTATTTTATGAAAAATTCTCATACTTTCTTTTAAATATTTAGAACTGTCTTTATTTCTTTGACATTAGCTGTAATAGCTGATTTGAAGTCTTTGTCTTGTTGGTCTGAGGTCTATATTTTCTCAGGAGAGATTCTATTAATAGCCTCTTTTTTTCTTCATAGGATTCATCCCCCCCCACTCCTCTTTTTCTGTCTTGTAACATTTTCACTCAGCTTTGGACCTTTAAGCAAAACTATATGGAAAACGAAACCTCTGAGCTTTTATTAAACTTTTTTTTTTAATTAAATAACAAAATTGACTAAAAATAAAGTATAAATTAATATCTATCATTTATAACAACTACTAAAAGAAGAAGAAGTGACAACATTTATTGGCATAGAAAAATCTAAGAGCAGCCAAGATAAAATTAATAAAAGTGGCATGAGGGTTAATTTCATTTTTGTGAAGTATCTTCTACCATCAATACTTAATGCTTATGAAACTTTCTATAATAAGTAATTTATCATCAATTCTCTGTTGTGTAATGCAACAAGGAAAGCTGAGCCCTGCTGGTGACAACAGGAATTTAACAAGAAAGGATACTGATGATTTCAAAACATAATTGTATTGGATTATTATAATTATTAGAAACATTTTAAGGTTTATAACCTAAAATGGAAAATATGTATTTCCTTTGAAAGGAATATTTAAAATATTGATTAAATGCTGTCTCAACTTCAATAAAATTCTTTTAGCAGGCAATTGTATGGGTGATCTCTTGTTATATTTGGAAATTGATAGTGGATGACTGCTTTTCAAACTAATTAGTTTTATATTGAAAATATCGTCAATTTGAATAGTTATTGAGGAAAATTGAAAATAAGATACCGTTTTTGACCATTTGGGGAAAATCAAAATTGAAATTGTTGCCTATCATTAATGTAAGAACTTCACCTTAATATGCCATAAATGTTAGTGCATTAAATTGTTTCAACATGTCTCATTCTTGCTAAACTGATTAGATTGTTTTCTCCAACTTATAGGTGTGAGTTCTGAAGATCTCCCCTATACATGGAAGTGTGAATCCAGTCTCTGAAATCTGTTCATTGTGGCTGGGCACAGTGGCACATCTGTGATCCAAGCCACTTTGTAGTCTGAGGCTGGAGAATTGTGAGCTCAAGGCCAGCCTGGGCAACTTAGCAAGACCATGTCTAAAATAAAACATGAAAAGGACTGGGGTTAGCTCAGTGATGGACACCTCTGGGTTCAATCTCCAGTACCCCCTAAAATCCATTCAATATTTAAGAAGAAATCATGAATATGAAGCAACTAGCCACATAAGATAAATGGATATAATTCAGGAGATTTAAAAAAGAGAAAGCAGGTTTAAAGCAGAAGGAGACAGGAACCGAGGATATATTGGATAAAATAGCACTTGAAGTTCATGCTTTGGACACGTTCCTATGGGGGAGGATGGCAACAGCCCAAATGCCCCAAACAAGCAGAACTTCAGAAGCAGCAAGGGAGCCATCCTCCCCAGACCCCGAAACGTCAGTGGTGAATGAATGAGAGACTTAACAAGACAAGGTAAGAAATGTTTTTCATTCTTTGTAATCTTAAGGCCTCTTCACTTTCTTGTGACAGTGTATTGGCCAGGACTCTAAAACAATGTTGAATAGTAGAGGCAAAGTCAACTCAATATTGTAGTCTTGATCCAGACTTTAAAGCCTTAAATGCCTTATCTCCATTAAGTGAATTATTTGTAATTTTTTCTTCAATACTAGATATTGAACTCAAAGTGCTCTACCACTGAGATACATACCTAACCCTTTTTATTTTTATTTTGAGACTGTATCTCATAAGTTGCTGAGGCTGGCCTTGAACTCGCTATTCTCCTGCCTTAACCTCCCGAGTTGGTATGATTATTTTGTGCACTTCTGTACTGGGTTTAAAATATTTTTTGCTCTTTTTGTACTGGGGATTCATCCTATGGGTAGTTTACTACTGAGCTACATCCCCAGTCTCCTTTATTTTATGTCTTTATTTTGAGGAGGGGACTTTCTACTGACAGTTTCACTAAGTTGCCCAGGCTGGCCTCCAACTTTCATCCTCCTGCCTTAGCCTTCCTAGTAGCTGGAAGTACAGATGTGTGTCACTGTGTTCCATGTGATGTTTTTCTAATTAATGTCTTTATCAGATTAAAAGTTCCCTTAAGTGCATGACTCCCAGCTTAGTTCTCTATTCCTTGAATGCACCCAGCTCCTCCGTCTCAAGGTTTTAGTATACTCCTAGGTTTTAGTATACTAGGTTTTAGTATACTCCTAGGTTTTAGTATACTCCTAGGTTTTAGTATACTAAGTTTTAGTATACTAGGTTTTAGTATACTCCTAGGTTTTAGTATACTCCTAGGTTTTAGTATACTAGGTTTTAGTATACTGGGTTTTAGTATACTCCTAGGTTTTAGTATACTAGGTTTTAATATACTGGGTTTTAGTATACTCCTAGGTTTTAGTATACTCCCAGGTTTTAGTATACTAGGTTTTAGTATACTCCTAGGTTTTAGTATACTGGATTTTAGTATACTGGATTTTAGTATACTAGGTTTTAGTATACTCATAGGTTTTAGTATACTCCTAGGTTTTAGTATACTAGGTTTTAGTATACTCCTAGGTTTTAGTATACTGGATTTTAGTATACTAGGTTTAAGTATACTCCTAGGTTTTAGTATACTAGGTTTTAGTATACTCCTAGGTTTTAGTATACTCCTAGGTTTTAGTATACTAGGTTTTAGTATACTAGGTTTTAGTATACTCCTAGGTTTTAGTATACTCCTAGGTTTTAGTATACTAGGTTTTAGTATACTGGGTTTTAGTATACTCCTAGGTTTTAGTATACTCCTAGGTTTTAGTATACTGGGTTTTAGTATACTGGATTGACTGGCCATTGTTTTTCAACAGGGTGGTTCCTCATGACCACTCCTTTTAGTTGGAATGCTTTCCATGTTATTTTTATATATTTCCATGTTCCAACTTATTTCCAAAAATAAGTTCCTGTAGTAACTTATTTTTCTCTCAGAACACTTATCACCACTTTAGTTAGGGGAAAATGTTTGTTTATTCCCTCTTTTACCTGTAAGCTCCCCTGGTGCAGGGCTGTGCCTGATTAGTTTTAACCTAACAACCAGCTACCACATCACTCCTGGCTCCTGGTGCCTGCTTGGCAGGTCCTTGGTGAAAGATGTAAGAGTATCCATAATAAAACAGTAACTTACAAAATGCCTTTTCAGAAATATAATTCATGGTTACTTTCTTTTTCATGCAATGATCATTATAGAAATCTCGCATTTCTACTAAGAGCTTTACTTTTTAAAGTTGCGAAGGCCATCTGAATAGCACTGTCCCGCTCTCAGCCGCACCTTGGTCCACCTTTCTTCTTAGCCACCAGCCGACACGCTGTGCGTTTATTGTTATGTCTGCTGCCCCAGCTATAAGGTCAGCACCCTGAGAGCAGGGACCAGGTCTGTTTTCTTCCTTGCCATGTCAGCAGCATCTAGGATGACATCTTGAAGGTTCTCAGTGAGTATTTGTTAATGGACCAAGAAAAACGTAAACTGATTCTTGCATGTAAGATTCTGAGTTGTTTTATAAGAAAAGGAAAACTCTTCATGTCTGATGACTCACCACTGTGGTGCTTTCTGGTTCTGGGACTGACTTCTCATTGGTCTTAGGGTCCTGAGGTCATGAGGACGGCAGTGAGCCTTTCCCTTCTCTCAGCAGAGGTGGAAGGTGGTCATGGATGTCCCCAGGCTGTTCTTCATGGGGAGCCTCTTGGTCCTGGCAGATAACTTAGTGCCTCCAGGTTTGGACACATGGCAGTTGTCCCTCTCACAATATCTTGTTATACTGACAGATGCATTTGACTCTCGTCTGACTTGTGTCCACTCTCCAGGAAAAAAAAGAAGATATTTTGACCAGGTCAGATGTGACAAGGTACAAACAACTGAATTTTAAATGGGTAAAACTGGATGCCGAGACACAGCATCTTCACTAAATAACCATGACACTGGGGTTCTTCTTCCCCCATCCCAGGCAGAGAAACTTTGGTAGTTATAATCCAATAATCCCCCAATTCTCCTTATTTGTACTATTCTGGTTAATGACAGGAGAGGAAAGAAAGGTTAAATCATAGAGGCCTCGTCAATGTACACTAGAAGAGAGAAAGAACAAGAAAGAAGAATGGGATGTGCTAATTATGGGTGATGGTTTTTCACATTGGGATTTGATGGTGGATAAGAAAATTTCAGAATTTGAGGAAATCCTCTTGGAGAGATGGAGGTGGAGACAGACGTTAGTCCTAATATTGGCATGCACACTTGCGTGAAGACTGCACTCATTCTTCAGTATTAAGATTCTAAGCAAAGGTTTTGAGGTGAGTATTTTTTTTAAACATTTTTTTAAAGGAGAGAGAGAGAGAGAGAGAGAGAGATATCTTTTTTCTAGATGGACACAACACAGTGCCTTTATTTTTATGTGGTGCTGAGAATTGAACCCGGGTCCGGCCCCTGCTAGGCGAGTGCTCTACCGCTGAGCCACAATCCCAGCCCTGAGGTGAATCTTAATATGGTTAATTTTTGTTTGCAGACTGAATGAAAGTCCACTCAGGGATAGCACTACATGACCCTCAGGGGCATTTGGGGGAATCATGAGGCCTTACTTCTGATCGTGAATCAATGTTCTCAACCTCTCCTCTCATTAAGACACTTAGACTAGACTTGTAGAAGATATTTTTTATCAGACTTTCAAATTATTTGAAAAATACAACAAGGAGTAGGTGAGTTTAGCAAATTTCTTGAGCTGCAATAGCTCTTAAATACACACACATATACACACAGAGCATGTGAATGTGTACACCATTTAAACAAATATCTATATATCTATCTATATGTATTAGATATGGATATGGAGATATATCTATCTGTATACATATATATGTATATATATATGTATATATATATATATATATATATATATGTATGTGTGTATGTGTATATATATATATGTATGTGTATATATATATCCCCTAGTACTCTTTGTTATATTTTTCAAATAATTTGAAAGTCTGATAAAAAAAATATCTTGTTCAAGTCTAGTGTAATTGTTTTAATTAGAGGGGAGGCTGAGAACCTTAATTCAGGATCAGAGGTGAGGGCTCATGATTCACCCAAATGTCCCTGAAGGGTCATGTAGTACTGTGTATATATAATGAAGTTTATACTGAGGTCAAGTTTTCTCCTCAAGGGAGAATGTGCTGTGTGAGACTTTATGTTCCAGAGAAAGAACAGATCCTGCAGTTAGTTGTCTATGAGTTCACCAGATAGAAATCTCAGAAACGTTCATCCTGGGTAATGCCTGGAAAAGTTAACCCCAGCTGCATGGAGCCCTGCTTTCTCAAGGAGTTAGAGTCACTTCTGGAAGCACAGAGAAGATTGATGGTAGCCAAGCTTGGGTTAATTCAAAGTTCCTGGTTCTACAAGTGAAACTGGATCCCTGGGGAATGGAAATTGCTGTAGGGTTTTCAAATAAACAAGCTTTGGAAACCACTGATACAGGCTAATTGCTAACAGACACTTGAGAGACTGGCAGAGGGAGCCACGCCAATGACCAGTGAACAGCATTTGGTTAGAACAAGGTTTTTAATGGGAAAAAGTGGGAAATCTCTAGGACCTGGGTTGTTTTATGAATAATTCACCCTACAGTCTGGCCTTGTCAGTCATTTCTGTCTCCTTATCTGCTGGGCTCTCTCATCCTTTAGAGAACTTCAGAACTGATCACTAGTTGAATTTAAAATGATCTTTCAGTAAAGAAGAAAAATGTTATCCCTGATTTCATCAAACTCCAGCTCAGCGGAAGTAATCTGCCATGGGCCAGTGAAGTAGAGCTCAGAGGAGCCATCTTTGGCTAAATCCCTGAATTTTATAATGAAACCCGAGGGATGATTTGGATGTTCACTGTGGCTGGAATCATCAGTCTTTAGCAGCCAAATGTGAAACCTCTTACTCCCCTCCAGAAGCTGGGTGGCCATTTAGATATGGAGTTCTGGGGAATGCCTTAAAGCCAGAAGTTACGCAGGCAAGCCTCGGATTCTTGAATGTAGATCCCTGTGTGAGTGAGGTGCCAGTGGACAGGGATTAGGTCACTTTGTCAATACTGATTAGACCACACCTCAGAGCTCTCCAGGAATACACAGTGTGGAGTGCGTATTTCCACATGCAGCTAGTAGAAGAGAATGCCTCATGATTATTTTAGACACAGAGATATATTTGAAAGTTAAATTCGACCAAGCTGGTGATGGTATGGTGGAGGTAATGAAGATGCTGCATTTTTAATCGTGGTGGGAGTGGAAGTGGTGGGATCACGATCCAAAATGGAGCTGAATGGGGAAAAGAGGTTCTGTCAAGAGAAGGTCATGCAGTTTACAGGTATGGAGTTAGCAGTCATTTAACCCAACTTGTCCTTGTTGATCAGGAAATAATTGAGGCCCCCAAATCTCAAGCAATACCTGGAGTTACAGAAAAGCTCACGTTAGTC